ACATATCAGAATGAGTGCAAAAAATGGAAACCCGCCGCTCTACTACCAAGAGGTTCTGGGGATTTATGCGCATTGCATAGTTCTATATATCAGAGGTTTGTGATATCTTTCGTTTGGCATGTCATCCATGTTCATCTTCCTTCACTGGACAGAAAGGAATGTGAAAATGTCCTGAATCTCATGGAAATTAGTAAGTACGGTGCGCCCTGTCCGTCTTTTTCCATGACTGTTTATCTGAATAACGCAAACAGGAGGTTCTCACATATGACGTGCTGCAAAACACTGTTTCACTGATAATGCCTCTGCTATTCGAAATGGCTCAAGTAAATTTTTTCCACTGGCAATTTTGGTCTTCAAATCAACTGCAGATTCGGTAGGGTTTTTTGGTCGATCTTCAGGGATTCTTTTCCATCTGTTAAATATAACGATGGTTTCCATTCTACAAGCCAAACTAGTGGATGTTCAGGTTTAGCCTCAATGTTCGCGTGTACAAGTCAACTGCAGACCTACCTGCCTGAAAATCTAAAGTGGTACAGAATTCTTGCGTTCTGTCCCGACCTCGCCCATGCATCTCGAAATGAGGCAATAGTCTCAATCGTGTATATTCTGTTACGCCTTATCAACTAGGAAAAGAGGAAACATTCGGCCAATAAATCAGTGGCGAGGTGCTCGAAGAGTGAATGTTCATTCTTCTGGTTGCTTTTCATATATTCTAACGCTGGCAACGCTCGATTGTTCGATTTGCTTAGACCTTCGATGTGATTTTTCTTTACTGACTCTAGGTGTTTTGCATTCTGACCTGACGAACATCCTGTCATGGGCAGTAGAGATCTTTAATCAACAACGTCATCGTGTTCCACCACTACGGTGGCAGCCTGATAGCTCCGCGGCAATGAGCACTGCACAAAAGAGTGGGCGGCACTAAAACCTTCTTGCTAACTGCTTATACCGTTGAGGAATTAATTCCATAGTGCATCACTGCAATTAACCAAGGAATTAGTAGCAACTCGTTAACCTTTGAATAACACAAAGAGCGTTGGGTTTTGTTTTGGTCATACCAAAGCTTGTGACATCTAAGTTCATGTAAGCTCATCTATACGTCAGTCAATGGCTTGGGCCCACCTGACTGATGAACAAGAATCAGCATGGAATATGAACCATAATTTCAGACATTTTCAATTCTATCGTATGGTACGGTGAACAGACATTGGGCTCTATGCTATCTTCAATATTTGGATCTGATTATGACTATTTTGCATAATGCGAAAAGCTGGATATTATCGCGAAGATATCGTTCTAGAATGGAATATTGTTCTTTCTTTAAAACGTTTTCATGCAACGGAATGGTAGTAGCTTCGAATGTTCCCTTCCCTTGGGTACTGTGCAGCGTAGAAGTGAGCAGCTGCGCGTTGATTTTGCTGCGTTGCACGCTGTTTATGACGATGAGCGTTTTATATTCGAAGGGTGTTTCAAATCTGACCTGCAGAGCTTAGCATCACACCATCGTTGAGGCAGATCTGATGTCAAGGACGAATATGACCCTTTCCTCTAGACTGAAGGTGACCCAATGCAAATTTGAGGTACCGCCTCTAAGTGACAGACGCAGTAAATCTGCGTTGCTTTGCTATTTGACCTCTGCTGGTCTCTGATGACGAGGTCAAAACAACATGACAGAAAACTCCTCGCTCAGGGCTATGACTAGCAACTTCGATTCTCTAACTCTGGCAGTGCCACCGCCTACCGCCCAAGTCTTAGCGCATTTCAATGCCCGTAGGCCACTCTACTGACTGCTCCGCATGTGAAGGTCTCGATCGCTGGCCGGGTCGAGAAGCGAAAAGGCGTCAACGGAATGTTACATGACGTTGCTAAGGAGCAGTCGGTTTTTGAGTGACTTGAGTTTCGCAGAAGCTGCAACGACGGCATTAGACTTCCGGCATCAGGCCCGCAGGCATGTGCTTCTCGAGGCGTGCATAATGGAATGTTTGTTTTTGCGTCGTTGCCTCAGTCCGTTTAAGCTGCTGACGACTCGGCCAACAGATTGGCAACTTATGAGCTCGCGGATCGAAGATGTTCGGCGATTGGCGTCTTGTAGTCAATGGGACTCGGCGATCGTTCTGTTAACATTGGTTTCTTCAGCCGCTCCGCTCCAATTAACCACCGTCAAACCTGCCTTTCCGTACTCAGAAATGCTGTCTGATCTTATTAACCACAAATCTGTCATACATCGAGCAAGTAATGTGGAAATGACCAGTTAAAAGGCAATTCAATTCGTGCTTGTAAGGCAAGGCAACGGCTGAGCAGATTGACTGTGGCTGAGTCAAAGGGCAATAAGCTAAATCACGATCTAACTTCGCATTTTTATTCAATACCTCTCTTATCTTGACCTATTAATAATTCGTAATTAATTATTCTAATTAATAATCTCACTCTCAAATTCCTCTGGTACATTTAACAACTCTGCGTATGAGTCAGTAACAAGAAACATCAAAATATGTGTTCCAGCGGAACCGCCATTCCTTTATGCAATCACTTTCGGATCGCATTGTTTACAAACGCTTCTGCATAATACCACGATTGTTCTGAATCGAACCTTCGGAATTTTCCCTTTCACACAGTATCACCTGGCATTTTAACTTTATCTGCGCTGCTGTCGCTAAATGTCTAGAAAACCGCATTTGAAGCCAAAGTAATTGCCGTTGTTGAGAAACCTATATGGATCATGCGGTTAGCAGAAGCACGATAAACTTAGCTGATATCGATTTTCCATTAATAATATAGGAAGATGAAAGTAATGTTTCCGTTGTCATACTATGCTGACACGTTTGTGACGTCAGCCATGCCGAGACCATTAGCGAGAAGTTTAAATTTTGTTAACAAGTAAATGGCCACTAATTTTAATGCGTTTTTAAATGCTATTATGCTAAGTTAATTTCTGGAAGGTGTATTTAAAAATATAGCATATATAAAACCTACACAGAAATATAATCTGGTGCCTCAGAGGCATTTTTCTGAGAATCTTCAGTGCGGTTTCTTCTCGAATGCTATTTGCTGTAAGGCAAAAACTCACCAAACTACGAATTCCTTCCGCTCTGCCGCGTGAAATCAATACCTGTACTGCCGCCTCAACACTGTTTTCTTGGACATCTTAATTAATTAGATTTCGAGACACTGACTCAGTATTAAAGTTTAATGGGTTTATAGAACCCACTGTCACTCCCTGTTCAGACATGTCTTTAAAATCATCCGTTCTCCAGCGCTCAGCCCAGTATCACTATGATATTGTTCTGAGAATATGGCAGCAAGACTGCGAGGGAGAAGTGTCAATAAAGTAGGACACACACGTTTCAGCAGGATAAGAGTTACCCTGACATCACATCATGCAGATAACTCAACAAAAGTTTCAAGAACAAATTAGTCAGCCCTCTTTGTAATGCACACTCACACCTTGTTTCACCGCTGCTGTTTACTAATCCTCGCCGTATAACTGCGATTCTGACAAGCATGGCACTTAGCCGTCGTAGAGAAAAATAGACTTTAACTTTAAGATCATGACCTCATTCAACAAAATCCTACAAATAGGAGGAGAAAATTCGCTCAGTTTTCCAATTGGAAAAAAAACTGATTGTTTACTGGAGCAAAGACGCGATGAATCTAGACTGAAGGAATATTTCGCGACCAGGAAGAATAAAAATGAAACAAATTTGCCAAAGGCAAAGAATATCTTCTCTAAATCAGTACCAAACGATTCAAAGCCACAAATTTTATGAGGAGCAGGAACAACAGATTAGAAGAGCAGATCTTCTGGAATATGAAGATAATTTTTTTGTTTCTTCACGAGACATGGCGAATAAACGCTACACGCACAAAACGACACACACACACACACAAAGACACACACACCTGGGGTCATGTAAACAACAGTTTTAAAATCTGAAGTCGTAGGCTAATATGGAAATGAATATCGCAGTAGCGTAGTGGATTTATTGTTTGCTTTGCATTTTAGAGGCATGGAATTCAAACGCAAAGAGCGTCATAAACTGTTTCCTGTTGAGTGATAATCCTTGAACAAGGAATTTGCCACACTGCGCTTCGGTGCTAAGAGCCGGAAAACGGCTAGCAATTCACTGACCTGAGAACATCGGGCTGTGATAACAGGCCAGAGGTTGAGGAATATATGACCATGCTGTATGATATATGGGTCTTTTAGCTGCAATTCGTCTTGACCTATCTGATAGGTGAACAAAAATTAGTAGAAGGGGTAAACAGAAC